TCCGTTAAAATAAGAAATTTCGTTATATAGCCACTTTTAATATATATATATATAAGATAATCAATCGCAATAGTATTCAATCACGTTCATTACTAATGACTTGTTTAATCCTCATTTTTTAAATTTTATTTTTTAAAAGTCATTTTTAATAAAATAATTTTGCAGATAAATTCATAATTTTTCCTATCTTTTAACTACACATTCTTTTAAAAAATATTTTTCGCAAAATTTATTTTCAAAAAATCTCTATCAAGCGAGGACTAAGCCACTGGCAATTATTTTTAGAAAAATAAGTTTTGAAAGTATTTTTTGGACAATCTGTGATTAAGAAATAGGAAAAAATTTTAAGTTTACGTACGAAATATTTTATTTTTTAAATATGTAATTGAAAATGAATATGAAAATTAAATAATTTTGAAATAATACTTGTCAAGGAGGGACTAAATCTCAATTTTAATCAAGAGATGGTAGAACTCAAACTATAGTACAAGAATGATCTTTTAGTGCATGCTTGATATTTATTACTTTATTTTATGATTTGCTGCAATATCATTTTCAACTGCACATTCACAAAATAAAATATTCTACATTTATACCAAAAAAATCTTCCTACTTTTTAATCACACATTCTCCTAAAAATTACTATTCAAAACTCATTTTTTCAACAATAATGGTTGTCAAACATGTTATTAGTTTCCAAGTGATAAAATTACATTCAAGTTCTTATTAGTCTTTCATATTGCTACATTTGAAAGACCATCCATCAAATTAGGCTAGAAATCAAGATAACCCTTCTATTGCCTTTCACAAGTATAATGTAAAACTCATGAAACTCGGACAAAACTTGAAAAAGAAAGCAATTGAACACCATTAGAAAACACAGAGTGGCGATACAAAGATTCAATCTGTATCCCTTCCCCAACATATGGACTTTCGAGCCCTAGACCTTTTTGACTCGACACTTGATCGGCTCGATTCGATCGAAAAATTGGCAAGGAGTATGCATGCAAATATCCAAGCAACATATTCTGATTCAAGTGCGAAAACTGCCTCTTCTGAGCATGTTCCTCATATTAGTGCTACTCCCTGCCTTCCTTGCAGCAAGAATGGAGGCCAGGGGAAGAACGACTTTAATATTCACAATCGCAACAAAAATTATCAATTCTTCTTCTATTCGGTGCATGTTTGGCATCTAAGCTTAGAAAAATATATACATCTAAGCAAACATATAACGTGTCCCCTGATAAATTTTAACTCAAAACTAAGGAACTAAACCATAAAAATAAGTGGAAGCAAACATTAACTCTCAAATAGGAACCAAGGTTTAAGAATAATCCTTTTTTAACCAAAGAAGTTAAGTACAATCCTATAATAGAGATAATGGAAATCAAGAAAAACAATTAACAAAAAAAAGGGCCAAATAGGTAAGAATCAAAACTCAAAGTACATCCACCCGCCGCCGGGGGTGGCAGAAACATAAGTACATAAAACACCCATCAATGGATGCCAGAAATCGTATATCATAATAATTTCATCATTTGCACACAATATTCGCCAGTCGCTGTGTAGTAGTCACAATGTCCATGGAACAATTCATATCAGTAGACTTATTTTTCTTAAGCACCTTCATCAACTCCACTTTTCCCCTGAGTTTCGATTGGCTAGTAAGGCGCACAAAACCAGAACTCAAATCAATTCCCAGCTGCGAGTTCTCCGGAAAACTCAATTCCACCGCCGCATTAAACTTCCTCGTCGACCTCGCTTTGGCCCGTGCCCTCTGCACCACCACCTCGCCAACCTGCGCGCCGCCGTAGAAGAAATGAACAGTGCTATTCTGGTACTTGAAGTGCCCAAAATTCGTGTTCTTGATTCCAAACTCTGCATTCATCCTTAAACTCAATGAAGGGTTTGTTGGTGTTCCGACATTGAAGGTCTCAAACGCTGCTGAACGCACGCGAAACTTGGGAGTTCTGATTTTCATCACGGTTAGGGCAAAAAGCAGTATGATTCCAGTTTGAAACACAGCAAAGAGGACAATATACAGTAAACATTTCATACGTTTCTTTTTACGTAATTCTTTTGCATCATGGGATGCTGATTCAGTGTCACTTCTTGCGTAGCCATTAGCTGCAGGTGCCAAAGGGTAAGGTGATTGCTGCTCCTTATTTTCTGCCATCAAATTTTCACTTTTAGAGAGAAAAAATGAGATTATCTGAAAAAAAGTAAATTTTCTCTGCCTTCTTGCTTTTTTTATTTCAGTAGAAAAGATTGTAAGAAACGGTGCTGATGAATGGAAAGACAGTAAAGAGTGGCCACTTATATATAATCATTTTTTTTTGTATTGTTTTCACTTAAAGTTACAACTAACGCGTCATATTGCGTATTTTGACTCTTGACTTACTCAATATACGTTGATTTTTTGCATCGAGTGAATGCGATGTAGAGAAGCTTCTCCTTGGAAAACATAAGGTGATTAGGTGGTTATTATAAAAATCCGACAGCCCAATTGTAACTTGCCACGTGGAAATAAAATGGGGTTTGACAAAATTAATACGCGTCTTAAAAGTTTGTCACATTTGATCTTCTAGATGGGGCAACGAATTTGTCCTAACCCTTTCGTACGGATGTTATTTTATTTTTGACCTTCTAGATTAATTCTTTATTTTTAATGAGAAACATGATGTTTTAATTGTCGTGTTCTGTTCATATTCTTTCTTCCGAGAATTTCATTGGAGTTAATCCCCAATTTTCTTTCAATATTTGACATAGGCTCTCGAGCTAAGAAAGCTTGTTCAAGTTATAAATACAACTTCGGAGGGGGCTAACTTGAAGTTTGATCTTGTTTAGTAAAAGACGGCACAAAATATAATAGTATATCTATATTACATAATATATACGAGTATACGTCTATCGAGCAATTCTTTTTAGATATTGAAGTCGAAAAAAGTTCACCCTACCAAAGATTAAAAGTGCGTGGAGGTGAAGGCGTTTAAAAAATTATTTACATTTTCTAACTAAATTATCCAGAGGGACGCGTACGGGTGATATACAGTAATTTGATTTTATGGAAACTTTCAATTTTCCTGTTATAGTTAATTATGCGTTTGGGTCCCCCCAAATTTAATTTGACTTAGAATTTACGGCTAAATACAGTACTAAAGAATAATTGTAATCAATATTGACAAAAACCCACACTTAAAGCGTGTTTGTGCCCTTTTGACAGATGAATTTAATAATATTGATTTTTTTTTTTTTTAGAATATGTAGTTAAAAAGTAAAAATTTTTTTGAATTTATATGTAAAATTATTTTATTGAACGAATATGTTATTAAAAATAATTTTTTGCCCTTGTTTGAGCCCATTTTGGGGAAAAAATGCATTTTACAATAGTGTTTTTGAAAGAATGTGTAGTTAAAAAAGAAGATTTTTTTTTTCGATTTACGTGTAAAATTATTTTATTAAAAAATATGTAGTTGAAAATGAATTTTTAAAAAGTGGAATTATATTAAAGCAAAATTTTTTTAAGATCCAATTACAAAAGTCAGATATTAATTTTAAAATCTTAAGATTAATGGAGTATTATAAAATTAATTAATCTATATATGTATCTTCTTACTCTCTCTATACTTGCATCTCTATTCCCCAGCCCGTGTCTACTGGCGCCATTCACAAGTTTGAAATAATACTTCAAGAAGTTTTAGGTCGATTTGACAATGAGTTTTGGGTCAATTTCACGACAGCACCAGATGAATACAATTTCATGACGTGAGTGGAGTTTTGGGTCGCAATCTGGTGCCGAATCTAAGGAAAATTGGGTTGGAGTTTTGGGTAGCGATCATGCGTTGCATGAGGGGAGTTTTGGGATGATTTTTTGTTGGCGATGGTGCATGTGGATTTGGCTCTTGTGAGGTGGTGTGATGATGGATTTGGCACTGTTGACGATGGTGATCATAAATAAACGGTTGTAGTGCAAGTGGTGTTGGTGGCACCGTGACGTTGGTGTTGGCGGTAGTGATAGTGGCGTGGTGGAGATGACGATGTGGTGAAAGAGTATTTGTGACTGATATAAAATGGTGTTAATAATTCTCCACGATGGTCCGCTACTTAATATGCACTCCCCTATCGAGCACCACAACATAGGATGTCTACCACAATGAGGTCGTCGACCCCCATGAGGCCCTCTACGTTCCCACAGGGCTGCCTACCACCATGCGACCAACGCTATACTTAACCGCCCAACAACGAACATGGACATAACCAATCACTTGACTAGAACATGAGGGAAGTAGAAGGCATACGTGGAACATGTGGTGCAATTAATCATGGAACGGGGGCATGACATCAGACGCCTATAAATACAATGGACGAAAAAGCTCTGACCTCATTTTACAGGTAGCAAATACTGATTGGAACAACCAGAACACCATTCACGTCAGGGAGAACAAGGAATTTACCTCACTATTATTTCAGTGACCAATTATTTGGGTAATATGACTAATAAATTATTAATATATGATCAGTAAATAATATGTGCCCTAAAAGAATGTGTGATTGTGATTAAATTTATAATTGTGACTCAAGATTTGATACGTTGTGACTAATAATTTGATAATTTGTCATTTAAAAAGAATTTGTGATCAATTAATTTGATAAATTTGTGATTGAAAAATAAACTTTAGCCTATAAAATTTGTGATTTGTGACTATGACGTTGTATTTGTGATTAATACATTATTGTTACCATAAATTATAAAATATTTTGGCCTTGATATATTTAATTAATGATTTCATAAATAAAAATTAATTAATATTTAGGCTTTGAAAAAATAAACTTTGCTTTTTTTAATTTTGAAATATGTCATATTTAATTTCTTAGATATGAAATTTTCCCTTTTAAAAAAATAGGACTCAAACATGGGCTTATTATACATGTAACGTGGCCCAGCCCAGACTCAAAATTTATTTGGGTTTTGTCTTAGCTAGTTTTCAAATTGGAACTTATTTTCTCCTTGGTATAGAAGTTAAAAAATAGATTAATGGTAAACAAACTTAATAAAATACATGTAAAGTATCCATATAGGCACAATAAAGATGTGAATATGTGATATTGACTAATTATATATGAACGAATGAACTATTTCATTTTCTTTTTAATCTAGTTTTTCTTTTGCTCCATGAGAATCAAGATAAAATAAACGTGCTATCTTGTTTCGTCAAGCGAAGATATACTTTTTAAGTTTTAACCTCTCCGAAACTAATGATCCAAAGAGGCAGAAATTATCGAGTTCCCATTATGAAGAAAACCAATTATTGGTTGTTAAGGAATACAAAAGAAAGGATAAAGAGGTCGATTGACAAACTATTTGTCCTTAATATTTCAACAAACGAAGCACCGGCTTCTTCACTAGAAGAAACAAGCTCAATAACAACAAATACAATTACGGATTACCCCAGAAAATATATTAGAAATTACATTTCCTCAATTCCAGTAAATAAAAATTATAACCAGTAAAAATAAATAAATTATTATGATATAATTGATAAGCGGATGATGAAGAGTTACTTGCATTTCAAATTCTCAATTGTGTTTGCTTTAATATTAACATCCATTGTGCAATCCATTTTTGCTGTCTTCTTCTTCTTAATGACTTTGAACAGATGAACTTTCCCATATAAGGTTGCTTTACTGCTCAATGGAATCTTACCTGAATTTATATCACTTCTCAAACTTGAAGAGGAAGAAACCTCCTTTGAATCCACAGAGATGGCGATGTTCATTTTCTCCGTCGATCGCGCTCTGGCACGTCTTTTAGGAAGGTATGACTCACCCACAAGAGTACCCTTGTAGAATATGGAAATTGGGCTATCACGAAATTTGAAGTGCCCAAAATTTGGGTTCTTGACTGTAACTTGAGCAGCAAGTTTCATGCTGAAGGATGGTGAACCGGCTGAATTTGCATTAATATTTTCTACAGTAAGAGCTTTGAACCGGACTTTAGGGCTTCTTATGCGTAAAAATATCAAAACAAAGACTAATATAATTAGCATTTGTAGTATGATCCCTGCAACTATATAAGACAGGATTTTCCGGCGATTCGCCGTTGCCGGATTTCTGTTCCCAGTAACCATTTTTTTCAGATGAGAAAATGAGAAGAAGTGAAATTTGCGGCAGAATTCCAAATACTTTTTTTTATACCAAGAGTTATGCTAAAAGAGTGTAATCTTTATAAAGGACTACTTGTTCTTGCTTTACATTCTTTTAGCTTTTCAACTGGCCAATTGATTTTTATTAGTTTCGATAAATTACATTTTTTTTTTTAAAACCAAATTATTCCATGAATGCTAACCCTATGTCTCTTACCGTTTTCCATTTAAAAAATGTTTTCATTACGAGTATATATCAAACGTGAGCGCATATTACAATTACTACAAGTCGAACATGAGGTAGGCTCTCTCGAAAATTCGTGCCAGCATGAGTACGCGTTTTCATTTTTATAAACCGATAAAAATTAACATATAATTCCATTACAATTTGATCATTTGTTAAATATTTTCAATCCATACCTATCTCAGTAATTTCTTTGTGTTCCAAAAGGAAAAGGATTTTTAGAATACTTCATGGGGAAGGCAAGAACATGTTGAAAAGACCATATACGTTAGGAAGTCGAGTCACACAAGTTTGAAATATTCCGAAGTAACATTTAAGCAAAAAAAGTATGGTAATTTTTAATTTCTTTTGGCCCTCGGCGCATACGTACTTAACTTAGTGTAAATTATTTGTCATATATTTATCATTATTTTCGATCTACCGCTATATTTATCAAATAATTGATAAAATTAATTCTTTTTTATTACCAAGTCGTTTGATATTTGATGTAGTAGAGATTTTTTTTTTTAATTGTATTGTATTGAATCAAACGTTCTTTTTCATTATAATTAAAATAACTGAAAAAGAAATCTCTTATAATGTTCTTGGGACCTTAACTTATACTGTCGGTGACCAATTTTTTTACAGAATAATCGACATCACCTCTAATGGTTTGATTTTAGAGCCCCGCTAGTACGGAAAATACAATCATGTTCAAGGAAAGTTGAAATTGAACGTTGACGGTCGGGCGCTAACAAAGATATATGTTCATAAACGTTGATAAAAGATGTGATTGAAAAGTTGTAAATTTCATTAAATATGTGACTAAAATTAATTGTTACCTTTAATTTCGATTCAAATCTAAAATTTTTAATTTGTGCCACTCAAGAGCACGATAGACAAGATGGCATCATCAATTTAACTCATCTACCAAACATGGCACGACATCACTCTTCCATTGTGAACTCCATTTCACTTGTAATTTCACTTGTAATTTTTGTCCCCTTTTTTACAAGAAAAGTGAACTTGCTAATATTTGCTTACTCAAATTGTACACATTCACAGAGAAGGCAAACTAACAAGCACTTGAAAGTAGGGGGCGGACCCGGGGTCCTCGGGGGTCACATGATCCCCAACTTTTGAGATTTTTTTTATAAAGTCATGTTTGGTATCGATTGAAATCTAAATTTTAATCTAAATCAAAATTAATAATTAGTTTTAATAACATATTTCTTTTATAACTATTTAACTTTTATCAAAATTTACTAAAAAATTGATTTAATTTCCACCAAGCATGGGCAAAATCACAATAAATTTGATTTTTTCTCTTTTCTCTTGCTCTCTGTCACTGCTCGACTTCGATTTCAGCTCCTTCCTCACCGTAACTTACTGCAGCAAAAATCAGTTGGAACCAGCTGATGAATTACCAGCTCAACAAAAGGGAAAAACGGAAATTGGGGGGAAATGATGCAAAATTGAGAAGAGATGAGAGATAAGTTGAATTGAAGAATCAATCCACTAATAACTGAAATTTCATAACAATTCACGTGAGAAATCTACAGAGAATATATGGAATGTATATATACACTCCAATAGAGCAGAAAGCATGATGGCTAACAGAATTTGAAGACAAAAAAGGTGTTCCATTATTACACTTCAATAATATATGAAACGAAGCCATTTTCGTAATGACCAAAACGACACCGTTTCCATTTTCGAAAGTTAGTTAATTCTGTTTCCCAGGTTCTTCCTTCTGGTTTGCCAACCTTCTTCTTCCCTTCTTTCCCCAAGTGCTTCCTCCATAACAATCTCTCTTACTCTTTTCTTCACGTCTTTTAACAAAATCTTAACCTTTCTAATTTTTTAAAATTTGTATATAATTTCTCTACAAATTATCACATTTACTATAAATCTTCACTTTCTAATCAAAATTTCAAGTAATTAGAACCTAAATTTGCATTTTTTTTTCCTATCAAACTGTATATATAGAATGTGTCTGAACTCATTATATCCAATTTGACTTATATTTAACGAATTATGTTTATTTGATTGATTTTTAGTATTGAATATTGTTATATATTTTTCATTTTCATTACTTGAATTCATTGTTTGTATCAAATACATTATAAGATTTTTAAACGTAAATATGCATTTTCTTGTGATAAATAAAATATTAATAAAATGACTCTTAGAAATCAAATGGATGAAAATGATTAGCAAAATATTAGTGAAGAAATATTTTTTTTAAATGTAAATCTACATTGTTTCAAGTTAAGTATGAATTATTCAAAAATCAAGAACAAAGTATTCGATTTATACCATGTTTGATTGTGCCCCCCTAACCTAAAATGTCTACGTCCGCCCCTAGACCCTCTTCTACGCCACTTGTTATTACTCTACACTAGAAAAAGAGGCATTGTCGAGTTTGTCATTGTAGACCCTCTTCTACGGCACTAGCTAGCGTATGCGGACTTTTAACTATTATTGACTTGGCCTTACTTTCACTATCCCTAATGAAAGCGAGGTATAAAAATTATTAATTAAACGTGTTTGATTAATTTATTTTTCACTTTGGAAAATATTATGTTTGTTTATTTTTTATTAGTGGGTGAATGAGAGAAAGAGTTATTTGGAAAATAAAAACCACATCTCCGTAAAGAAAATATTTTTTTTATTTTCAAGGAAAATATGGTCACGTTTTATTTTATGAAGTTAGATTTTGCTTCGCAGCTTCGCTCGATATCCTGATATTGGACGTCAGAAATTTTTAAATTTGACATGACCATTCAAAAAAAATTGAATTATTTTTTCATCGTTAGAGAATTGATTATACAAGTATAGCCAAATAATGAAAAATGACTTATTCGCATTCATTTAAGAATACGGGTCCACTTGCTTCTCGAACAATAGATTGAGATTGGATGCTACATTTTCCCATTATATAAAACCTTCATTTTATTAACACCTAGTGCCATTACACCTTCATCCACAGAGGATTGAAAGAGGCTGGTCTATACAAGAAGAGGAAATGTCTGGATTAGGGTTTCGTCTCTTTTGATCCCTACCCCATAATGGGGGAGAAATGAAATGTCCAAATTAACCTCAAGATGCTTTTTTAGTTTCATTTCCACACCCCCGTGGATTTTGGAAGTAAAGGTGACCACAAAATGAATGAATAACCTATTCAAGTTGTCCAAAGTTAGGCCATCAAAACCTAAATGAAAAGGATGTNTGTGATGAACAAAACATTAATAAAACGATTTTTCGAAATCAAATGGATAAAAAAGATTAGCAAAATATTAATGAATAAGTATTTTTTAAATGTAAATTTGCATTGTCTTGAGTCAAATATGAATCATTCAAAAATAAAAAACAAAGTATTTGATTTGTACAGAATTTGATTGTGCCCCTAATTCAAAACGTCGGCATTCGCCCCTGCTTGAAAGGATACGTTAAAATTCTAACGTAAAAAATAAAGAAAAAATTAAAAAAGGGCGAAAGATAATGAATTCTAATAGGTTCACCGCTTACGTATTGTTTACTTGATGACATGCGTACAAGTGGACTGGTGCATCACGGACGAACACCTATTTAATTCCCATCTTGTCATTTACTGTTAGGCATCCATGTGACCTCGGAATGCCATGCAAAGTTGACCATTTATGCACTACTTGGGAAGAATTACAGCTATCAAGTAAACTAGATTTTTTTTTTTTTTGAAAATTGGCTCTCTCGTCAATTGTACTTAGAAGAAGCAAGCACAGTAAGAGAAGGCGACTCTTCCACAAAGGTTGAAGAAGAAGCTTTACTTGAAAGACGATTCAAGAGTCAAGAAATGACCGTCTTTAAAAAAAGATATATTGCTAGACAAAACAAAGCATTGTCGCAAAGTAAAAAATTTCGAAGTCACGATGTTCAATTATGAACAAAGTTCGGAGGTAGAAGTATTAAAAATCTAGCTACGGTTTTCTTTTCTTTTTTTTAAAGGAGGAGAATGATATAAATAAGACCTTGTTAAAAGGACCTTTCGTCATCAAACTTATGTTCATCGCTTCCAACAAAAGGAAATTTAAAAGAGATCAATCTTTTCAAAAAATTCTCTTAACTATTTGAGTCTTTAGATAAATTTCTTTTACAGCGTTTTTAGCCATCTTAGACAGTATGATCCAAAGGAGAATGTTGACAACTTCATTTCAATAATAAAATCTAATAGTAACAAATCATTTCACTGTTCACGTTCATCAAAATAATTATCCAAAATTGAATAAAAATCAACCCAATAATGTTCACATGATCATGTACAAACCTAACAAAGGAGGAGGGAAAAGAAGTTCTAACCACCACCATAAGAATTTTAAACACAATATTTTACTTTCATAATATTTTCGTATGCTATATTCTAAACACAAAGACATTGTTTCATACGCAAATTTAGACAATATAATTAACAAGAATATATCTCTGTTTCCTTTCTTAATGCTATCCCACGGTACACCACACATTACACATACACGACAAAGAAAGAACTTGTATTGAACTATTTTTGAGCACTACAAAACTTTTGAAATATTTCACACAACTTGGTCACCGTTAACATACTTTCACAAGTCATGGAGACTATCAACAAATCCCTCCACATTTGCCTTACTCATTCTCATCAACTTCATTATTTGATTCATTCGACCTCCTCACCACCTCCACCATGGAAGAACCACCACTACCTCCTTCTCCGCCCTACAAAACCTATAAAGTCACAGCTTCTTCTATCTCCTATACAAAAACTGCCACCACAATTCTATCTACCTACGTCTTCAAACCATGCATTTCAACACCACCAAACTACATCTTGAAAGACATCTCCTTCACTGCATATCCATCACAAATCCTAGCCATTGTTGGCCCAAGTGGTGCAGGAAAATCCACCCTCCTCGACATTTTAGCTGCCCGAACCTCGCCCACAAATGGTACTCTGCTCCTCAATTCTTCCCCTCTGAACTCGTCTTCATTCCGTAAGCTATCGGCTTATGTCCCTCAACATGATTACTGCCTGCCTTTACTCACTGTTGCAGAAACTTTCGCGTTTTCTGCTCATTTACTCAACCCGAAAAGTTCTGATATTTCCACCATTGTTGCATCTCTTCTTGATGAACTCGGGCTAACACACTTAGCAGACACTCGACTCACTCATGGGCTATCGGGTGGCGAAAGACGTCGAGTTTCGATTGGGCTCAGCCTCCTGCATGATCCAGCAGTGCTACTTCTTGATGAGCCAACTTCCGGTCTTGATAGTGGTTCGGCTTTGAACGTGATGCAAACGCTCCGATCAATCACTGATTCGCGCCACCGGACTGTAGTTTTGTCCATTCATCAACCGAGTTTCAAGATTCTCTCCACCATTGATCAAATTCTCTTGCTGGCAAAAGGGACAGTGGTGCATCACGGTACCCTGTCTTCTCTTCAAGAATTCTTACTCTCCTGTGGCTTCACAGTTCCTCCACAGCTCAATGCACTCGAGTATGCCATGGAAATACTAAATCAGCTTCAGAGAAATGAGCCCACCATCACCCCCCAATCCCTACCCCCATTACCTGAAAATCCCACCTCTGAAACCAAGACAAAAGACAAAATCAGGTATAGAAGCTCAAGAATCCGTGAAATACTCACTCTATCTAACAGATTCTGGAAAATCATCTACAGAACAAGGCAATTACTTTTCACAAACACCTTACAGGCACTGGGAGTTGGCCTTGTTTTAGGCACAATTTACATCAATATT